GGCGTGTGCAACACTCTTCAAATATAATCAGTGGTTATATTTGAATAGAATGCTTGGGCCCATGGGCAGAGTGCCTCGTCGAGGTAATATACATGGGTTGTAAAGGGTGGGGAGGGGGTATACATGGGTTTTGAAGGGGGTTGGAATGGATTTTGACTTCCAAGGGGTATATTTTAATTTGATTTTTTGTTTTTGTTTTTCATTTTTGATTTTTTTTTTGGAACTTTGGGGCCCCGCCGAAATTGCCACCAATTTACTGAATGTACTGCCCGGGCATTGTATTCGTATACAACGCCCGGGCGTTATTTTCGGGGGAAGACGGTAGTCGAATTGTTTGTGGAAGGGGTTGGAAGGAAGAGGGTGAAAGGGCGTGCAAGTGGGTGGAAGCTTTCTGTGGGGTCTGACAGCATAGTCGAATTGTTTTTTGTGGAAGGGGCTGGACAGAAGAGGGTGAAAGGGTGTGCAAGTGGGTGGAAGGTTTCTGTGGTCTATGAATCTCTTGCTGATGCTATATTTTGTGCCTCGACTGCTCCATGGCTGTCTATTTTGCATACAGGTGGTTGCTCCAGGTGTTCTTTTTGCACCAATCGGGTTGGTGGACATGTACAACTCAGGAGGTGCCATTCTGTTTGCGAAATATTTGTCAGACATGGAGAGGGAGTGTTCCCATGACGGGTGCCAGCACGTGCCCGAGGCTGAAGCGGATCACGTTCCTGTGTCGTCTGAGAGTGTAATGATGGCAGTACGAGGCTGTGGCCGATTTGTCGCCTACTCTTCTGAGAGACCCAAGGCATGCACAGTTGACAATGACTCGGCCAGTTATTCATACTCGGAGGACGATCATCGCCTGACTCTTGAGCTTGTGAGACCTGTTGATGGACAGGTTTGGACGGTCAAGATCAGCTACTAGCTTCTTTTAGCTTTAGATCAGTTACTAGCTTCCTTTAGCTTTTGCTTTCTGCTTGCCGATTGATTATATATTAGAGTATTGCCGATTGATTATATATTTGAGTATTGTCACATGATTGTAATGCGATTGATTGGTTCACACGGAGATGACATTGGGGAGGTGTGTTCAATCTTTTTCCAGTAGTAGTGTGCGTTTCACATTCCTGTCATTCCGGCTGCACTGGATTTCAGATTTGAATACAATGTGAAGGGAGAAAGTGATGGGCACATACTCGTTTGCTCATGCTTCATCATCCCTGTGATACGTTCGTTAGCCAATAGAGGTGCTCTGAATTAAGGTGTATTAAACTGTATTGAAGTGTCTTCTGTATTTGTTGTTTTGCTTTACTTTCATTATTTGCACAAGTTGTTTGGGTGGCCTGGTTAGTCAACATCGTAGTCAGAAAGGCAGTACCTTGTCATGGTTTGTGCTGAGCCTCGAAGATTAGAGAGAGAGAGAGGGAGAGAGAGAGAGAGAGAGAAGCAGAAAGCAGAGTGCTGGAGACGTCTTTGGGGGGAGAGAGAGAGAGAGAGAGAGAAGCAGAAAGAAGAGTGCTGGAGACGTCTTTGGGGGGAGGGAGGGAGAGAGAGAGAGAGAGAGTTGCCACTTGTGCTGGGTATGTAATACCTTCAGCACCTGTCTGTTCATGTACCCAGCAGCTGGGCCTGTGACAAGTGGCAAGCAGAAGAGGGAGTATTGGAGGTGTGTTTGGAATCAGAGGAGGGGAGAGAGCTTGGGGCAGGGTGGGGGAGTGGACACCGAAATGTGTACTGGAAGCTGGACTTGGGGCAACTGGCAGGCAGAAGAGGGGAGTGTTGAAGATGTGTTTGGAAATGAATATCTAAAGCAGGCTCCCCAGAACAACGGCCTTCGTTGCCTACTGCTGTTGGGTTTTCTGTTTTTGCTCGGATGCTCATGCCCCGTTGTGGTGGGCAGCGTTTGCCAAATCGAGCATTTTCCAGCACTGCTTTTCCCTGCAGCTTTGCACTCTAGCTACGTTTTCTGTTGCATCATACGATCTTTTTATTAGTGCTGCTGTTTTTGGTGAAACTGCACCCTTTGCACTTTGCTTAAATGACTTTATGAATATTGCGATGAAAATGGAGCATAGCAAAGAGTATTCTGCTGCACAGGATACTCTTGGCTTTTCGGCTGATTGGAGTTGGAATCTGAGAACGGAGCATGGCAAAGATGCCAAAGAGTATTCTGCTGCACAGGATACTCATGGCATGTCTTTTCGGCTGATTGGTGCCGGAACTTCATCCTGAGAGGTTGGGAGTCGAAATCTCTTATTCCAAGGGAGGGGTGCTTTGATTTTCACGTCGACAAATCGGTGAAACTGTCTATAGACGTTTGCTTCTGGCGTCTGGTCTGGCCACGAGGAAGCACATCAGAATGACCTATGTCAGTGGTAATACTGTGGTATGACTGAGAGTGCCATGATTGAGATAGGACGTGGTGTTCATTGTGAGAGCTTTTTGGTCAGAGAGAAACTGAGAGAAAAACTGTGCTCAAGGTGATTGATGATGGTTTGTGTGTTTTTGGTTGTACCTTTTGCATTTTTCATTATTGGTCCGCTCATGTGCGTACGACGTACGAGCAAGCAGCGTTGTAGATGTAGATGATGGGCTTTTATCATCACTGCTGGTAGGTAGCTGAGGAGTTATATATTGAATTAGCATTGTAGATCACAGGCTTTGATGGATTTTTTTTATTTTTTTTTTTTTTTTTTAAGATGGCTCCGTTTTGCTAGTATGTAACTAGGGAGTCGCATTGAATAGGTAACCACACACTGCTGCTGTGATGTTGGTTTGATGCCAATTTGAGAGCAAGTGAAGTGTGTTGATCCCCCCCTCGTCTTAATACGAGTGAGCAGCATTCTAGATGGCTGGCAGCTTTTTATGGTCTTTGCCAGTGGGTAGCTAGGAGTTGCATTCAATTGGTAAGCACCGCTGCAGTGATACTCGCTTGGCCCCAATTTTTTGGGGAGCGCAATGAAGGGGCGGATGAACGCCTTCATACGAGTGAGCAGCATTCTAGATGGCTGGCAACAAGTAGTAGGAGTTACGTTGAACATATTTGATGTCGGCTTGATGACAAGGGCGTTACATTGAACATATTTGATGTTCGCTTGATGACAAGGGCGGCTGGACGCCTTCATACGAGTGAGCAGACAAGGGCGTTACTTTGAACATATTTGATGTTCGCTTGATGACAAGGGCGGCTTGACGCCTTCAGATGAGTGAGCAGCATTCTAGATGGCTGGCAACAAGTAGTAGGAGTTACATTGAACATGTGTTTGATGTTGGCTTGATGACAATTTGAGAGCAAATTGGTTGGTTGGATGGCAATTTGAGAGCGCGATGAAAGGAGAAGTATGGTGGGGCAATATTTAGTGCTGCGTCCACTGATAATAAACTAAGCGTACGATTAGTTAGACGTCAGCGGTTGCGGTTTTTCACTCAGGTGGCAAGTCAGGTGTTCAAGCCCAGACCACTGAGAGATGGGCGTGGTAGTACTTATTGGGGGGAGACCAGTGAGAGACAGGTGTGGTAGTAGTTGTTGCCTCAGGCTTTGCTTCGCTGGCAATATGCATTTAGTACTTGCGATTTCCGATCCTGGCTCAGCAGCCTCCTTCTCCTGTGGCTTTGTTTAGCTGGCAGGTATCCATTTAGTACGTAGGATTTCTAACCTTTATCCTGCTCAGCCTCACTTTTCTGCGGGCCTGAGTGCTGAAGAGTGGTTGCTGGTTCAGCGTACACACGGATTCGGATCATGTACGGATCATCGTTCCAGCAATCGGTTTGTTCGTTCTTTTCTGTTGACAATCTTGTGACTTGTACGTCTTCTATATTCTCACCCCCCCCCCCTCTCCCTGTTGCCTGGACATGTGTCATGTTATTTCCTGCGTGCTACCTGGTGAAGGGTGTGTTGAGTTTGCACGTCATGTGTTGTGTGTGTGTGCAATGCACAAGTGTGCGTGTGTGCCCTGGGTACAAGAGAAGGGAAAACTGGGGCGCAGTCAAGGTTTTTTAACTTTTTAGTTTTAAACATGTTTTGGTTCCGGTTTTGTGATTTTTTCTCCGAAGTGAGGGAAATTGTGAATGTATCCAATGCAGCTTTAGGGTTGGGCGGGGATGTGTGTTGTATTCAACAGATGCCTGAAGTGGAAAAGGCTTTATAACAACTGACATTTTAATATGATTTTATCCAAAACACATGGAATAATAATTTAATAAACCACTTTTACAAGGAGTTTCTCTGCATTCACTTCCATGACTTGGGGCTCTGATGTTTCTCGTGGGGTAACTGCAACACAGTCACGTTTTCAGTTCTATACTACCGTCTTCATCCGAATAAAATGCCTGGTCATTAACTGCTTCTCGCACTAGCGGTTAATGGACGGTGAAAAATTTGGCGGTTTTCGCCGCATTGTTTCCACTAATGTTGTTGAAAGTTGAAACGTTTGCGAACAAACTATGCAGGGTCACAATACAAACATTAAAAAAAAAAAAAAAGGCAAAAAAGAAAACGAAAAAAAAAAACGAACTCAGCTGCAACGCTTTAGACTGCCTGCAAGCCAAAATTCACCGCATCAAGAAAAAAGTAAAAATTCAGGGAAATATGGCAGTTTTGGTAAAAAAATTCCTTCCAATTAACCGCTTTTCCACATAGAGTAATTACTAATTACGAAATGATTGACCTGAGCAGCAATGGTCTAGACTGCCTGCAAGCCATCATTATTATTAGAAGCATGTTGCAGTTTGGGAAGTGCGCTTAGTGAAGGTTTGTGTATTCTTTTCCTGTTGGAGCATTGAAGTCTCATGTCAGGTTTGAGGCCATTTCGCCACCGAGTGGCTACAGTCTTCCCATCTAAATTCAGCTAAAATGACCGTATGTTACACAGCTATCTTTCTGCCACTGAGTGGCTAGCAGCCAACATAACAAAGAACATATAGTGAGAGAGTCGGATTATTATTTCAATGACGAGGAAAAAAAAAAAAAACAGAAGAATGCTAGACATCGTTTTTTTCATAACCGTTGCTACTGTCATCCCCCGAACACAATGCACCCCAATCATGAATGTTTACACAGCTATCTTTCCTGTGCGATACAGTCATGATGAGGCTGCATTGTGTTCGGGGTAAGGGTTGAGCATTTCGCATTTCGCATGCATCCTGCGGGATCGGTGCGAGGCCATTTGGGAGGGGCCCACAGTTGTGTACCTTTCAGGCTTTTCTGGAACTTTCCAGTGGATGGGGGATAATGGTGATCTATATGCTCAATGATATACCTCATGTGGCTGGATGAAGCATGCATGTAAGTGGTAATAAACAGATTGTGTTTGGAATCTTTGGATAGTGATGGGATCAAGTGGATGTACTAAGTAAGACTTCTGTGGGTTGGAGGGTGTCCCATAGCTAGGGATGCACCCTCTGTTTATCTTTCCACCTTTGCTTGTCCCAGTTCTCCCGCATGGTAGTTGGTCTAGAAGTGTCCTGCCCCGTATGGCTGCTTGTGGATGAAGTTACCGTACTAAAAGTTTTCCAGCCGCGAGCCGCCTACGTGGCCCCGTGTTTTGGCCGTGCAATGTAGATCGCGCATGGTAGTCGGTCTAGAAGTGTCCTGCCCCTGTATGGCTGCTACGTCGTGCTGAGTGTGGGCTGCCCATTTCCTGGTGTTGGTTGCGGATGAAGTTGTGACTTTGAGATGCTGGATGTAAAATTGAACTTGAAGTCCAGTTGAGCCATCGGATGTGTTCATGTGTCAGCGGTGTGTTGGTTTTTTGTTTTCGTTTTGTTTTTGTTTTGTTTTCGTTTTGTTTTTGTTTTTGTTTTTGTTTGTCCTGTTTTTGTTACATCGATGTGTTTGTGTGTCAGCGGTATGCTGTTGTTCTTGTTCTGTTTTTGTTACGTTTTTTTTTTTTTTTTTTTTTTCACGAGTGCTGAAAGAACGACGACATTGAATCGAATTTGTCTTTGAGAATGGGAAACGCATGTGGTGTGGAGGTTCACAGGCAGATGAAAAGCGGGAAAACGGAAACGTAAGGTGAAAAAAAAAAGAAGTCGGGGGCAAGTCAGAAACTGGCAGGTAAGGCTTTGGACTCCGAAGTTTGTGACGGCCTTTTGCTGTGAGATTGTGTTCGGGAGACGCTCGATGTAGATGTGTTCAGGAGATGTTCAATGTAAAATTGCTGGCGCTTATTGCGGAGTGTCTCGAGTCGCTTATGGTGGGGCGTCGGTCGCATGATGGGTTTTGAGCAGACTAAACCTCGGCCTACCACAGTTGGCACACCCATGAACTCGTCGGTCACGCGGTGGATTTTGATCAGATTAAACCTGGGCGGCCTCCCTCGATAATGATAATGAGAAGGTCGACAGAGCCGCCGTAGTAGGGGAACTGAAGGGCGGCAGTCACGAATCGATGGCAGAGGGCGCGACCTCTCCACAACCGGATTTCTGGAAGTGTCGGCCGAAGCTTGAAACTCTGCGGAGAGAACGATATGTCCATGGCAAATTTTGCAACCTTATCGAGGTTGTTTCGGATGTATCCTTCCTAATATACTGCTATGAACTCATCCGTGGTAATCCTGGTAAGCTGGTAAATTTGAGCCACAAGCGTGGCCTTGTCTTATCGTACAGAAAGCCCTCACCGTGGTGCTGGACAGCATATACGATCCGGAATTTCTGGAYTGTTCTCACGCGAAGCGTGCAATACTCCAGGTAGACCGAACATTCAAGAGTGCGACTTGGGTTATAGAAGGTGACATTACCACAGCCTGGCGGCTGCCTCACAAGGTTATTCTAGGAATTCTTTCAGAAGAAATTGCTTGTAGAAAATTTATGAGCTTAGTCCGAAAATCCCTAAGTGTTGGATATGCTCTTACGTTCTTGCGAACGCCTCTACTATGTAACATTACGTTACATCAATTGGACAAATACATATATGAGACCCTAAAGGACCAATACGACAAGCACGAAGTGGCAGACGCGAACTTCCGAAGTCTTAGCTATGTGCGATACGCAGATGACTTTGTGATAGGCATTACCGGTTGGCATACCCAAGAACTGGTGAAATGCAGACTTGTCCAAACAGAACGAAGGGCATTGGAACCGCAAATATGTCAAACTGCCCTACATGATCTGACCTACGCCACCGAGCTACTAGGGCCGACGACCTACCTGGGCTGCCTGTCGTACCTGTTTTACGGTACCTACCACCGTAGTGTTACTGTAGCACAACTGAAGCGCTAACCAGGTCTCTCTCTCTCTCTCTCTCTCTCTCTCTCTCTCTCTCTTTGTGTGGAGCATTTAGGGCTATAGATGAGAAAGGTCTGGTTCGATGGGACGAAGCAGACTAGCATCGACATTATATTTGTGGAAACAGGTCACACGGGCATGAATATGAGGAACATGGGGAAACAGATCAAAGGTTGAAAATAAAGTCATATGAGGGCAGATGATGGCACGACGTAAAAAGACGACGGAAGTGGCAAGGTGTGGACGCATGTTCGTGCTACATGGGTGTACAGGGCAGACAATACAAATACTAGCGGATCATTCGACGGGATAGAACTTCGAAAGTTTCCAAACAGACGGCATGGCATACAGAGCAGATCACGGAAAGGGGAAGTTGAGACCATCAGGATTCAATGCCAATGTGACTCGACTTACGATTATTGATATGGCATGAGAAGAGGAGACACATGAGTAGGAACTGAGCGAGATCTAACGTACAATGCGATTTGAATGATGGGAAACGGAGCTGGGCAGCAGGATGAGGATGCATGGCGAGATTTGGAGTAAAGGCAAGTGGTTGAGGACCTGATCTTAGTTCTCTGCGTATTGGAAAGTGGCTGAGATGACCACACTGAGCAGGCGGCAGAAGGTTGGTTGCGATACATGTTGCTGCACGCCATGAACTTCACATTGAGTTCCAATTGCTCTCTCTCTCTCTCTCTCTCTCTCTCTCGTGTGCGCGCTCTCTCACAGTGAGTAAGATTCTGATCCTTCCGGTGTTGCTATTTGACCCCTAAAGAACCTGCATATGATACAGTTCCGTTCATACTTATGGCACTTCAAGTTGCTGCTGAGAAGCCTGCAGCATCTTGCTGTATCAATTTTTTGTTCTGTTGTTACTTTTTAGGGCCGAGTACGTTTATGTCAGAACAGAGTTTCAGATGGGCAAAAAAAACATGTGCGGACCTATGTTACCAGAGTCGCCTGGCCCAGGCTGGGCAGTCCGGGCGGACTTGCATGGGGGTTGACCCACCCGGGGTACCCGGCCAACACCAAAAAGGCGGTCAATTTTGGCCCGTCTTTTCCTTGGCAGTGGGGCAGTTTTGCGTGCATGGAGTCGTGAGTAGTTTGGTGATATCTCACCAAACTTAAGGGTGTCTATGAGGTATGAGCGGGGTTCGGAAGGGTTCGAG